CATTCCTAGGAGGAGAAGGTAGGGGAGAGTGGGCATCGGGTGGCCCAGAAAGAGCCCCAGGCCAGACTTTAAGTGGGTCTGCCTCTACCTGGGCCTCAGACAGTTGGGTGTTTCCATCTATCCCCAGCGAGGCAACCAAAGCCAGGAGCCTCTGTGGCTCTCAGATAGGTGGATACAAGCCTCTTTTCCAAGGTTTTTGCCAACTGCAAATACCATCTGACCTTCCGCTTGTGCCAGCCCTGCCACTGGGACAAGTAGGAGACTCAGCAAGGAGGCTACCCTTGGGTGGGGCTCATCCTGGGCCCCTACTTGCCCCCGTACCCCCTGATACTCCTCCACCCAGACTCCAACTGGTCTTCCTAAAATGGGGACCTGATGATGCCTCTCCCCTGCTCGCAACTGTCAGTGCCCCCTGGGGCTGGCGCTCTAGCACCTGACTCCTACTCATCCTTCCCTGCTCGGCCACCCATCCACACCAACTGGCCCTGTCCTCCCTGGGCCTTGGCCCAGCTAGCCGCCTGTTTAGGCTGGGCGTCCTTCCAGGCTCCCTCCTGATCCACATCTTGCTCCTCTGGGCGCCCCCACAGCACTTGGGGCTGAGAGCAAATTCCCATCTCTCATGGTTATTAGCGTTTCCCTTGTCTGTCGTTGCCTGAGACCAGAAGCTTCGTGAGGGCAAGGACTGTGTAGGATTCATCCCAGTGTCCTGAGCACCCAGCCCAGGGCCTGGTGTTGGGGTAGAAGGAAAAGAAAGAAAGGACGAAGGAAGAGGAGACTGGAGGAGAAGAGGAAGGAAATGGAGAAGAGTCAGTCTGTCCCCTTCCCTTCTTCCCCCTTGACATTCTCAGCTCAGTCTAAAGACCTCACCCAGCCTGGTGGCACAGTCAGGTGGGGCTAAGCTAGTGCGGGGAGGCAGGAAGGAGGAGAAGGAAGCTGCTGACCGAGCAGCACTTCCATGCAGAAGCTTAAGAGCTATTTGTGCCCTGCCTGCTAATCCTCCATGGCCGAGTCAGAGCGCGGCTCCTGGCCTCCCCGAGGGGCTGGGCTGGGGAAGCCCTGAGACGGCTGTGTCTGTCTTCAGAGACAGTCAACCCCAGCTCCCCTGGTCCCACCACTCACAGCTCCTCGCAACTTGTTCTCAGCCTGGCTGAGTGAGAAGCCAAGGGGGCAATGGCTCGGAGGGTCCCCCACACTCAGGCTTGGTCACTGGCATGCTCTGGGTCCCTGTCTGGACCACCTGACACAGAAACAAAAGAGCTTTGGCTGAGAGGTTAGATGGCCCGGGTTCAGTTCCAGCTCTAGTGAGGAGCCTCAAGCCTCTGAGTCTATTTCCTCCGTGTTCAGAGGAGAGCGAGGCCTCGCCACAGGGGCCAGGAGGAGTTGTTCATTTATTCAGCAGATTTTTATTGAGTGCCTACTCCGGGCTGCAAGCTCAGAATGCAGCAAAGAACAGGCTGGGTCAGCCCCGCATTCTAGAGGGGGATGGGCAGTCAGTCAGTGAGAAGATAAATAGGGCTGTTGCTGATAGTGATAAGTACTAAGTAGAAAATGAATGTGGAGGAGGGCTGGTTTGTAGAGTTGGCGATGTGGGGGCTCTCCAAGGATGGGAGCTACCTGAGATTCAGGAGAGGATCACACTTTTGGCAACACTCACTGATCGCTGACCGGCACCGAAGTAGGAAACTGGGGCACAGGGAAAGGAGGAGGCCGGGCTGCACCCGAGTTGTATGGCCTCGGAGCCTCAGTCTGGATGGAAGGGTGGGTATAAAGGGGCCATGCCCAATGACGCAGGGCCATAAAAGCTCAGTCGTCAGGCCTGAAGGTCCATGAGGCAGGCTGTGGTGGGGAATGCAGTCCACGCTTACCCTGTAGACGGGTGTGGATCCCTGACGTTCCCCAGGCCAGCAAACTGAGACCCAGAGAAAGGAGGAAGTGGACTTACCAGGCTCTCCTGGTGTCTCCTGCCCTCAGGGCCGCCACGGCTGCCCCAGGCCTGTGTGACTTAGTCCTGGGCCTTTTTCACTACCCCGTGCAATGTTTTGTCCTTTATACTGTGGTGCGAATACTGGCAGATCTTCCCTGAGCGCTGTCTTTGGTGCTGGAGGGGACGTGGCCAGGCAGGCAGGTTGTAGCAGGGCTGTCACTGATTTGTCACATGACCTGGCCAACTCACTGCTGACTCTGGGCCTCAGTCTCCCCACATGCAAAATGCAGTAGGAAGGGTCAGAGTAGGTGACTTCTAATGACCTTTCAGCACACGCCATAAGCCTCTTGCTCTGAACGAAGAGCATTGTTTGTTTTTTCAAAAAAATTATCTATCCTGCTTTACGGAATATAGAGCAACATCAGGTCAGTGACGGCCTTTAATTCCCCATCACCTCGCCCTGTGAGGGTGGGATTATTAAACTCTCTTACAGAGGGGGAACCTGAGACTTAGAGGGGGGGAGCAGTTCCTGAGGTAACCTAGATCCTTTCACTCATTCCACAAATAATTATTGAGCACCCACTGTGCGCCAGGCCCTGGAGATACATCAGTGAATGACATAGAAACCCCAGCTCTTTCTAGCACTAGGAAATGATCCACACGGCTCCTGCCGCATGTCAGGGAATCGAGCTGGGCCGTAGGGGCCCTGGGGTGAGCAAAACAGATCCCGGCCCGCCCCGGGCGCCCATGTCACACCCTGGGGGATGGACCAAAAACACATGAACAGAACACGAATTCAAAGCTTCTAGGCTGTCATAAGCAAAAGGAAGTGACAGGAAGGTGCCGAGGTCAAGGGTCGACGGCTCAGCCCAGCCAGAGTGAGGCAGTGGGGGGGCCAGATTTGACTCAGAGTACCCAGTGCTCCTCCTTCTCTCTGGCTCCCAGGGGCCAGGCTGTGTCAGAATCAAACCCTCCACCTTGACCTCATTAGCACTGGGCCTAATCACTGGGCCAAGGGCCTTACAGTGCAAGAGGTCACCCCCAGCACCCCCGCCGTGGCACCCCCTGCACTCATCCCACCGACACACATGTCCTCAGTCCTTTGTGTGCAGGCCCTGACAGGCAGGGGACTGGAGCCCCAGGTGGGCTAGAGGGAAGGGGGTCACCTTTTTGAGCAGACAGGGCTAGGACTCCCAGGTGGGAAGAGACTGGGTGTCAGAAAGCGTAAGGGATAGCCTTTGCCCTCGCTGTTTCCTCTGCCCAGATATCTCCACCCCCCTCCCCAGATCTTGGCGAGGCTCGCTCCTTGCATCACTGAGGTCTCAGCTCAAACTTTACCTTCTCAAAGAGATTGTCTAGATAACAGTGTGTTGGGAGTGGGCCGTGATCTGAACTTTTCTTAGTGTTGTTTTGGTTTGGTTTGGTTTCGTTATCGTTTGTAATGAAACACTTCTCACAGGCAGGTGCTTGGTCCTCCTCGTCCACTGAGTCTCCCAGAACCAAGCAACTTGGTCGATACACATTTGTGGCTGGAGAACAGTCATCAAGCGCCCCGCATGCCCAACACGTCCAGCTGCCCCCTTTATTCCTAGGAGGTGTCATCGCACTCCTGTTACAGATGGGAGGGCCTGACGATATTGGTCTTCTATTTGCCCCCAAAGCTTATTCTGCTGTCCTGAGACCTACCCTCATGGGGTTACTCGTCACACAGTATCCAAAGCCCACTGGTCTAGCCCAGCCTGACTGGACACCCCGAGACACGCCTTGTGTGCTGCAATATCCAACCAGTCCTGTTTCCAGGGTCTGCCTCCCTTTCACACTGGCGTCCCCAGGAGGCTGAGGCCGCACCTGCCTCGCTCACTGCAGCGATGTGGGGCCCAGCACGGGATCGGTACACAGCCTGGCTCCTGGATGCAAGGCTGTGCTTCGGGATCCCTGAGAGCCTCTGTTCCCTCCCTGCTTCCATGACTCCCTTTCGTGGTCTCTTCCATCTTTCCTCCCTTCAGTCCAACTATGGGGGCATTCGTGCCACCTCTCTGTCCCTGAGATCTGCCCACTGCCCTCCAGATAAAGCCAGGCCCCTCAGCTCGGCATCAGAGCTGGCCCCAGCCCATGTGCAGCCAGGCCCTGCATGGGCCTCAGGCCTCTGCCCAGACTTTGTCTCCTGTGTGCGTTGTCTTCCCCACTTGGCAACCCGGCAAAGTGCTTCCCTCCTCCTAAGACCCAAATGTTGCCCCCTTGGGTGCCTCTCCCAAGCAGGCCTCCTCCCCTCCCTGGGCTGGGATGTGTTCTTTGCACATCAGAGTCCGCCTAAGCCTGCAAGCTCCTCCTTTCTCAATCTTTGTATCCCCAGCGGCCTGCACATAAGTGTTTGATAAACAAGTGAGTGAATTCCCGTTGAACGCAACAGATGTTTACTGCTCCTGGGCTATGCTGGGCTGTGCGTCTGGCAGGATGTGGCCCTTGCCCTCAGGAAGCTCATAATCTGGCGAGCAGGGCCAGTGTCAGTGTCCAGCGACTGGATGAGGCAGGAGGTGACCTGGGTGGGAAAGGAATAGGTAAGTGGTTGAGTGAGGGGAAAAGAGACTAAAAAAAATAACCAGAGCCTCTGGCCTCTGGGAGTACATGGTCCAGTCGAGAAAAAGATGAAGTCACCCCTACTAAGCCAGAGGGTAATGGGCTGGGAGTCTGAGGTGCCAATGCCAGACCAAGGCCATTAGGCTGAGATGGGCAGAGATTCCTGGGGAACAGAAGAGTGGGGGTAGGATCCTGCCCTTTCCCAGGGTTCCCAGCACCTCCCCTCCCCAACCCTAGGCTTCCACCTGAGTCACCTTGGCCTCTCTTGGGAAGCTAATTAGGCCCCCAGTTGTAGCGCTGGGGATTACTATGATTAATAACGCCCCCAATCTCCTAGGTGCTGATTCAGCCAGGAGCTTAGGGAGGGGAGGTCACTTTATAAGGGTCTGGGGGGTCAGAGCCCAGAGTCGTCCAGCCAGAGCCCTGCGTGGCCCAGCTCAGGCCCCAGCAGCATTCTTGGGTCGGAGCCGCCCGTGGGGCAGCCACAAGGACTCCAGCCATGAACGGCACGGAGGGCCCCAACTTCTACGTGCCCTTCTCCAACAAGACGGGCGTGGTGCGCAGCCCCTTTGAGTACCCCCAGTACTACCTGGCCGAGCCCTGGCAGTTCTCCATGCTGGCCGCCTACATGTTCCTGCTGATCGTGCTTGGCTTCCCCATCAACTTCCTCACGCTCTACGTCACAGTTCAGCACAAGAAGCTGCGTACACCTCTCAACTACATCCTGCTCAACCTGGCCGTGGCCAACCTCTTCATGGTCTTTGGAGGCTTCACCACCACCCTCTACACCTCTCTGCATGGATACTTCGTCTTCGGGCCCACGGGATGCAATCTGGAGGGCTTCTTTGCCACCCTGGGTGGTATGAGCCATGGTGTGGGTGGGCAGGGAGCACAGGAGCCAGGAGGCATGGAGATATCTGGGGACAGCTCCAGGCTTAGGGATGGGAGTTGAAACCTACTCTCCTCTGTGGTCATTGGCATGATCCAAAGCTCTCACTTAATCAACAAGCTCTTTGGTGGTGATGAGCTAGGCTGCCGTTTGGGGAGAGCAGGCATTGAGCGCTGTTCATCTCGCTTGGAGTGGTGCCATCGTCTTGCTTTACAGCAAGGAAACAGGACGAGAGAAGTCAAGCGCCTGTGGAGGTCACGTCATGGCAGGGACAGAGCTGTGTTTCAAGCCCACATCCATGTAGCCCCTCAGGCCGTGTTTAGCTTCCCTCGGAGCAGATGCGCTGGGTCAGACCCATGTTGGGCTCCGGGGAGAGAGCGGGACAAGAGAGCTCCCTGCGTTCAGGGCTCCCAGCTCACGATGGGACGCAGGTTCTCAGTCCTCCAGTCACTGGACTTTACCTGCGCTGGGCCGTGGGCTCAGTCCCTTCCCAACCCTCTTCCAGCCTCTCTGCCGCTAATGAATGTTTTTTTGCGTTGAGAAGCTCATCCGTTTCAAAACAACAACAACAAAAAAAACCTTCCCACAGGGAGGCATTAGACCTGTATGATCTGTAGCTTTGAAAGATGCTTTTAAACATTTCTTTGACTAGAAAAGTGATGAGAGTGCTGCGGAGACAGGAGATCCCATTGAGCAGATGAGAAAACGGGCTTGGAGAAGGGGCGACTCACTTGGGGATGTGGCAGGGCAGCGATGAGAGCCTAGGTGTCCTGGCTCAGATCCTTAGGACACGCGGGCACTCAGGCAAGCAGGACATGGCAGCGGGCGCTCTTACCAAACCAGGGCGATGGGGAGAGCCTAGGCCCAGCCATAAGGACTGTTCTGCTGCCTGTCTTCTCTCGCCTTCATGTGCCCAGGTTGCTGCTTAAACCCCATTCCCCAGAATCTCGGGCCATCACTGGGTGTCACCTTCAGTGACCACAGAACGTTCTGGTTCAGACCAGGAGGCAGGAGTGAGACAGAAGTGCCACATACAGGCAGACACTTCTTTGTAGCATCGGTCTTCGTTTACAACTATTGTCCTGGAATAATTACCGATATTCCTTTTCACTCTCAGAAATGGCCCAGTTTGGTTGCTAAATTCTATGACCACCCTCCCTCCTGAATTTCTGCAGTGATGTGCAGCACAGATGTCTGAATTCCATCATTATTTCCTCATTCATTCTCTGAGCCAAAGATCATTCATCTTCCTGGCTCCTAGGAGAGGGTCCCACATGTCCAGGTTATGCTGTTTCCTAGAAGGGAGAGGCCACCGCTCCCCAGGGAGGGAAGGATTTCCAACTCCAGGTTTCCCCGGCCCCTATAATGCCTTTCACCAGCAACTCTGCCTGCTGCCCCATAAAGGACACAATCTCTTGTAAAAACTCCCCGCAGGGCTCCCAGTCTAACCATGACTCCTAATCTAATTTCTGTGTCCCTCATGAACCCAGAGCTCTAACTGGACTAAACTTCCTGAGAGCTCCTCCACTCCCCCGGCATACTGGTCCCTCTGGCCTGCACTTTCTCCCCCTTCTTCTCAGTGTCTAAGCCTACTCCGCCCTGAGGCCTCGCCCCAGGCCGGCCCCGGTTGCCTTCCTAGGCACCCTCTCCCATACAGGAGGAGCGCTGCCACCTTAGACAGACAGTGGGGTCCTGGCAAGTGGCCTGCTGACCAACAGCTGACTGCCTTGCAGGGGAAATTGCCCTGTGGTCCTTGGTGGTCCTGGCCATCGAACGGTACGTGGTGGTATGCAAGCCCATGAGCAACTTCCGCTTCGGGGAGAATCACGCCATCATGGGCCTCGCCTTCACCTGGGTCATGGCGCTGGCCTGTGCTGCGCCCCCACTCGCCGGCTGGTCCAGGTAATGGCATTAAGCACAAGGGAAAGGTCTCTGAGGGTCTTCTTAAGGTCTCCCAGCCGGGACTCAAACCTGGGGCTATCTGGTTCCAGACACCAAGCTGGCACCCCTTCTGGGGTTGGAGTTTAGGGTAGGGGAAAAAAGGATCAGACCCTAATGTTGCTATAGGGGCTGGTCCCATCTCCTGAGTTCCCATGTCAAGGAGAATCCAAGAAGCCCAACCCCTCACCTTGGCTGTGCCCCTAATCCTCAACTAAGCCAGGGCCAGAGTCCAATCCTCTTTGGTCCAGTGCCCTGCGGGCAGCTTTCTTTGACCTTGGGCCTCAGTACCTGGGAGTCTGAGCCTTCCTAGGGTAGGTGGTGACAATGTGGGAGCCAGGTGACATTGCAGGTCATTGTCTCCAAACGGAGCTGAAAAGAGAGATGTGGAAAGAGGGGGACAGTGGTTTGGGTAACTTGCCTGATGACTATATGGGCTCCCGGAGGTCTCATGTTCCCCTGCTTCCAGGAAATTCCCTTTTTCTTCCCTCTCCTCCTCAGTCTCCCTGGGGTCATGTTTCTGCCCCTTGATAAATTTGAGGCTACCCACCTCCAGCCTCTCTCCCTGCCTGTTCTTGTCTGGTCCAGTCACATCCTTGTCGGCCCAGCCAACGGACACGCCACATTTTCTGAGGTCGGTCATATCACCGTCCTCTGGAACCACTGAAACATCCTAACCGCATGCCCTAGAGGCTTCTTGTTTTTAGAAACTGTGCAAAGATCTCTTAGTTACCCTGTGTGACCATCTTTGGTCTCGAAAATATTCTTACCCTGTTGTTAGTAAGACCCTGGTTTGTACAAACTACCTCAAATACAGAGTTTGAGAGCTTTTCCTTCTCCCCACCAAACTCTGCCCGGCATCGTCTGAGGCCTGGCCTCTGGCCACGGTGGGTCTGGTGAAGAAATCCTGTGCAGGCCAGCGGCAAGCACACGCTGCCAGACAGGGACAGTGTGAGAGAGCGGGGCATGTCCTGATAGCACCGCCACCAAAGCGACAATGAAAACGATTGTTTTACAAGGTGCATTTGAATCCCTTCTCTCAACTGATTTGATCCTCGCAGTCACGCAGCCATGGAGACATTTTATTATCCCCGTTTTACAGAGAGGGAAAGAGAGACCTGGAGCAAGGCCAGGCATACGCAGGTCGCTCTGGTCAGCTGGGGCCAGTTCCCAAGTTCCTCACATGTGGGTCTCTGCTGTGCCCCCTCCTTTCCCGTTCTCCACTGGTGCTCAGGTACATCCCAGAGGGCATGCAGTGCTCGTGTGGGATCGACTACTACACGCTCAAACCCGAGGTCAACAACGAGTCCTTCGTCATCTACATGTTCGTGGTCCACTTCACCATCCCCATGATCGTCATCTTCTTCTGCTACGGACAGCTGGTCTTCACAGTGAAGGAGGTATGGTCCTGTGCCGGGCGCTAGGGACACACGCATTGAATGGCCAGAGCCCAGCCCCTGGCCCAGAGTTGCTGCAGTCTGGACACCAAGCCCTCTGTCCCTGCAGGCGGCTGCTCAGCAGCAGGAGTCTGCCACCACCCAGAAGGCAGAGAAGGAAGTCACCCGCATGGTCATCATCATGGTCATCGCATTCCTGATCTGCTGGGTGCCCTACGCCAGCGTGGCATTCTTCATCTTTACCCACCAGGGCTCTGACTTCGGCCCCGTCTTCATGACCATCCCGGCATTCTTCGCCAAGTCCTCCTCCATCTACAACCCCGTCATCTACATCATGATGAACAAGCAGGTGCCAGGTGGCGAGGCGGGAGGGTCCAGGTACCCCGGGTCGCAGGCGCTGCCTGTGGAGGACAGGCCACAGCCTTGACCGGGTCTCAGCCTTCCCATCTGCAACACTGGACCCCAAGGCATCACAGTCATCTGGGAGAAACGCAGGTTCCTGGACCTCACCCAGACCTGCAGCTCAGGGTGGGCCTAGGAACATGCATTTCTAACACGCTGTTTAGGTACTTTGGGGCTGTCTCAAGTAAGATGGTTCCGGAGGCACGCTTTAAAAGTCAAGTGGTCAAAATCTCAAGCCCGGGTACAAGACGGTGCCAGTCTCTATCAAGGAGAAAAAAAGGGGATAAAAGGTCTTATTCTGAGGGATAAAGGGATAAAGCAGTCCTTTAACATAGATGAGTGGTCTCTTGGCAGAATCCATGATTCAGTGGGGGAAACGTGGTCTTTGGAGCCAGGCATACTGGAGTCAAATCCCAGGTCTGCCATCTTCTAGCTGTGTGACTTTGGGCAAGTCATTTCCCTTCTCAGGGCTTCAGTTTTTCACCCAAAGAAAGGGCAAAATTCCAAGCTCTTGAGTTAAATGGGATAATTTACAGATAGCCCTTGGCACCCAGAAGGCATCCTAGAATGTCATTAGTAACAAAGGCCCCTTGGGTTTGGCCCCTGGCATCTCTGGGGCAGGGTCACATATGTTTAGTAAGTTTTCTCCAGAGAGCCCGACGTGACACAGGAGCGAAGGCTGGGAGGGCCAGGGCAGGAAGGGGTTGCAGGCAAACCTTGCCAATCACACCAGCTTGTTACTCACACTTTGAATGAACCCTGAACCTGACTCATGCCCCTTGCCTTCCAGTTCCGGAACTGCATGCTCACCACCCTCTGCTGTGGCAAGAACCCACTGGGTGATGACGAAGCATCCACCACTGCCTCCAAGACGGAGACCAGCCAGGTGGCACCAGCCTAAGCCCTGCCAAGGACTCCGCTGTCGACTGTAGGAGTCTCCCGTCCCCCAACACCCACCCCCAGCAACAGCTGCCCCACAGGAGCCGTGCCTGTTGGAATCAGGTCTCACAGGCTCCATGAATTGCTTGTTGTTTTTATTTAAAGAATTAATGACCAAAAAATGAGGTTCTCCACTTGACGGAGCGGCTCAATCTGGAGTCCTGAGTTCTCAGGGGCCGGTGGGATCTGTACCCCTCTTCCCCCTAACTCATCTCTCAGGGAGAGATGAACTCTCTATGTCTGAAAAAGTGTCCCAGTTTAGGGATAAATGTCTAGCACAGAGTGGGGCACACAGTAGGTGCTTAATAAATGCTAGATGGAGGAAGGAAGGAATGAATGGAGGAATGGACAAAGGGATGAATGGTCAGGGAGAGCATATTGTCTTCTCAAAACCACCTCAGCAGCAGCAGCTACTTGGCTGATGACCTTGAGCAATTGTTTTCCTCCCTGGACCTCACTTTCTTTACCTGAAAAATGGGAATCCCTCCCAAAAAATAAATAAATAAAATAAAATAAAATGGGAATCCCAAGTCCCAGGTCCTGCCATACATGGTGAAGATCAAATGAGGGTGTGTGTGTGTGTGTGTGTGTGTTCAAGTACTTTGTAAATGGTAAGGAACTGTACAGATTGTAGTTAATGTTATGAATAATATCAATTAATATAATTAATAAATTACTATGATCATCTCTTCTTGATAGCCACTATTTTGAGAGTGGACATGCCCCGAGTAACCAGCCTCAGCAGGTTTGGGCCACAGGGAGGGAGAGTTGAGTGAATGCAGAATGCAGCTAACAGACCTGAAAAACTAACATCAGACTGGAGTCTGGAGCCCAGGCCCAGGGCCCAACCTCTGGCCTCGAGCGCCAGGTCCAGGGCCTCCCCTTCCTAGTGCTGCCTGCGAAAAGACAGGCCTTTCTCCAGCTTCTGGAAGCCATAGGCTCACCGACCCAGCACTCGGGCCACAGCATGTCTGAGTCAGTGTGGAACTTCCGGAAGCTATGCTCACCTGCCCACATTTAATGAAGAACTGAGTCTCCAATATCACCCTTGTCTTGAAGAGCTTAGAAACCAAGAGTGGAGAACTCGGTTGAGCCCACCTTCCCTGGGGATGTTCACAGGTCCCAGAATCCAATTTCCTTGCTGGATGAGCCTGTCTTCAGCAGCTCCTGTCCATTCTCCATCCTGGAGGGCTCTTGCTGCGAAGCTGGCTGGAGCTCTGGGTCATCAGAATTAAGCTGCCTCAGTAACTGAGCCCTCCTTCTTCACATAGCCAAAGCTGGAAGTTCTAGGTCTCCCCAGCCCTGCCTAGAGACTGAGGTAAAATAGGGCATTAAAAAAGCTCAGTTCCTCTACTTTGTGTTAATGGTGTTGGTTTTTGTCACTCGCAAGCTCTTTATCTGCAGGATGGATTGAAACTGGGCAGCATCCACCTGGTCCCTGCCCTGAGAGGCCTGAGTTGGGCAATCAGCCTCCTAAGGGGGCAGGACGGAGGGAGCCAGCCCGGGGATGGGAAAAGTCCGAATTTTTAGAGTCACAGAGACCCAGGTGACCGGTGAAACTACAAGCAAATTTCTCACCTCTCTGAGCCTCCTTATCTGCAAAAGAGACTCTTAAAACAGACCTTGAGGGGATTAAATGAGATCGCAGACTACGTGGCCAGTCTCTTCCTAGCATACAGCTGACGGTGGGAGGCTTGGCGTTACTGGGGCCTCAGCTCAGAGCTGGCCTTGCTGAGCGCCCCATCTGCAAGGGAAACAGGATGGAGCTATAGCTCCCAAAAGTTACCCCCATTCTCCGAGGCGGGGAGAAGTGGCAGGAGCCTGGGATGGACGATCCTTAGTGCTGAGGTGGGGCTGAGGCAGGTAATAGTTTGGATCTCTATCCTTGTCCCTCTTAACTCTGCCTCCCTGGATGATGTCAGTCAGGATTCCTTTGGTTGTAAATGACAGGAAATTCCCTTTAGGTCTGAAACTAAAGGGAAAAGTTATTCGTTCCCATAAATGAAAAGCCCAGAGCTTTAGGAACAGCTGGAGACAGTTGCTCAGATGATGTTCTCAGGCTTCTGTGTCTCTTCTGGCTATACTTTCCTCTGTGCTGGCTTCATGCACAACCTGGTTCCAAGGGGCAGCAGAAATGGCCACCAGTTGTCACAGGCTCAGCAAGCTCTACCAAGAATGGGCTTCTCTTTCCAGTCAGTTCTAGGTAGGGTACTCAGTGGCCAGGCCTGGGTCGCCTGATTGTCCTTGCAGCCCAATATTAACCCCACATAAACCAGATGGTCTGAGAGCGGGGACAGAAAGGCACCAGAGGAAATCCAGGGGTGTTGTTACCAGAAGGAGGACGGTGAGAGGAGGCAGGGTGGGCGGAGCCAACAGTAGCCCAGAGAAGATGGACTCTAAGTCACTAGTCCCCCACTGCAGTGTACTTATTCTGAAGAGTGTTATGTTTGTCTCAGCCTCCAGAGGAAAAAATTTTCTCTAAATCCAGGACATTCTGTGGTTTTTCCTGGTAGAAAGGAAAGCCTCTTTACCTCCTTAATTTACAACTGATTTGACAGCTATGTATGGGACACTTGCCATAAGTGAAGGCAAAGAGCTGCCGACTGAGCCTGGGAAGAGGGTATCACCCACCTCATTTCTAGGCTCCTGGCAGCCCGCAGGTTTATGGAATGCGTGTTGTGTACAATCCTATCTCCACTCAAACCAATCTAAGGAAGCAGATCCTAAGTCAGGATGTGCTGGGGACTCCAGAGATGGATTGGAGGGACCGAGTCTCTGGGCGGTGACCTGGCCGGCCTCAGGGCCACAGAGCTCTCTCATCCCTGACCTTGGCTCCGGGAGGAGACTGTGTGAAGCCCACCTCATCCCCCAAGGCAGCAGAGCCTGCTGGCAGCCTGCCCCCCCTACCCCCAGTAAAGACATGCATCCCTGACACCCCAAGTTTCTCCCAGGGAGATGGTGGATGGCCTTTCCAGCTGCGTGACCTCAGACCAAGTTTTTGAACTTCAGTAGGCCTTTGGCCTCTCAGCTTTAAAGGGGACAACCATCCCAGTTGGTAGAATTGTCTAAAGGGACTAATGATATTATTGCTACAAAAGATGCAGTGCATAGTAGACATTCAATAAATTTGAGTTCCCTTCCCAGAGATGCGAAACCAAGTTCAAAGGAACAGCCCCTGCTCTGGTTGAGATAGGCATTAAAGAGATTTAAATATTGGAGGGGATCTTAGAAAAAGGGGAAGCAAGAGCTAACTGCCGTAATATTTGTTCTCTTTCTTTCTCTTAGTAATATCACTTCCAAGTTCTAGTTGACACCTGGCCACCCAGCACCAGACTGCAACTCCCAGCTTCCCTTGCACCAGTGGCATAACATTAAGGTCTGGCCAACGGAGTATATCAGAAGAGATGTTTGCATTCTCTGGGTTGTGCATGTCAGCTAATGGAGTGTCCTCTACTTCCTTTCTTCTTTGCTTTCTGAAGGCAGGAATGTGGTCATGATGACCAGATCTGCAGCAGCTGTCTTGTCTTGGATCATGAGGTAGAATCTGTGGGGAAAGAACAGCAGAGCATCAGGAAAGGAGCTTGGGTCCCCCAGGCTTCCTTACCAGCGCTGCACAATTTATTCTTGAAGAGTTTTGTGAGAAATGGTCTCCTAGTTTCTTGTTTAAGCCACTGTTGCTTTGGCGGTAGAGCTGGTTTCTTAACTAATATAGGGCTCCCAGGCTGCAGCCCAGGGTCTGGACTCAAGAAGATCAAGTGCAGTTCCTCTCTAAACTTTTGCTTCTTCACGTGTAAATAAAAGAGTGGATATAAAATATTAACATAGATATTGAACATGGCAGCTACTACTATTTCTACCCTGCCCTCTATGCATTTATTGACCTCAAATCACAAATATCCTGATGCTGCAGAGGCTAGAGTTACACAAAATAGATCACTACTTCAGAAAGTTGAAAACTATAACCTTCAGAACTATCAGAAAGTTCTTGTGCAGGTGGATCCTGTTCAATGTTCCAGGAAAGTAAAAATGTTTCTGGCAAAACTTAAATTCCATACAGGCCTCAGTAAGAGGCTCACGTCAGCACACTGAGCTGCTTTGCTTCTCCAGCAGCCTGATCCTCACAATTACCATTTCCCTGTAAAAAGGCAATCCTCTAGAAGAATTTTTAGATCACGCAGCACATTTTAGAACTTCTTCCCTCCAAATGCAAACTTCCATCCTGGCACAGCCCAGGAGCAGGGTTTCAGATGAATCTCGTGGGAATGTTTGTATTGCTGTGTCTTTTTCAACTTCTCAATTCTTGGAAATGTCCCACAATGTGGTCAAAACTGCTGCCCCCATTTGCACCAGCTTCCTTTGCCTCTTTGCTCCATATCGTCTCCAGCACTCAGCCAAGCTGGGCTCTGACGCTGGGGCTTCCACAGCAATGGGTGCTGAGCACCTACTATGTGCCAGGCACCGTGCTGGGCACCAGGGATACCACCAGGAACAAGACAGACACAACCCTGCTCCCCCCAGCAACACCTCCCAAGCTCAAAGCCTAGTGCAGGAGACAGGTCAGGGAGAGCTGTAACTCAGGGCGCCAGAGGCTCCCAGACAGGAACTCCAGGGGCTGCTGACAACCAGAGGAGGGACCCTTAACCCCCGAGGGAGTCAGGGAGGGCTTTTCCCAGGACGTGATGTCTATACTGAGGCCAAAATAGTCTAGAGAATATAGGTGGGAGTAAGGAAGGGTCTTCTAGGCAGAGTATATCAGCTTATGCTGCATGACAAACAGCTCCAAAACCTCATGGCTTAAAACAACATACCACGTACTATTGCTGGTGACTCTGCGGGTCAGCTGGAGAGTTCTGCGGGTACAGACCAAGCTTAGCTGGTCTCCACGAGGCTGATTTGGGCATGTGTGGCTAACTGGAGGGTGAGCTGGTTGGGTGGCTGGCTGTTGGCTGGGTGATAGGGGTA